TCTGTTGCTTTTCAGTAATAATAACAAAGACACAGTTATTAGACATTTACAATGGGTTAAATAAACACTGTGATCCAAGCTTTGTGGAATTCTCTTTTAATCTGCACAATAATCCTGTGTGTAGAAGACATTTTCCTCAGCCCATTCTCAAAGCCCTGGGCTCCCTTACTTGCTGCCATTCCACATATTGCAGTTGTTTTCCTGGCATTCTCATTTCATTATATACATGATATTGGGAAACCAGGAGGACACAAAAATCTGCTTGCAGGAAATGCATGTGTCTTCCTAAGCCTGACTGCCAGGAAGCTAAACCAAAGATCCACAGGTAAAATAGACAGAATGCATTTGAAGATATTTAGCCGTGGCCTCTGAACTTTTAACGTAATTCCTTTAGATGAATTACCGTCAATTAGAAATTCAGGGAGGTATGGAGGTCTCTATTTTCTAGATTTATCTTGGTACCCAGAAAATTCATAGTTTTAAAAATTAAAACAGTTAAAAATTATTTTTTCCCAGCTTTATTGGAATATAACTGTCAAAATGATATATGTTTAACATACATGATGTGATATCTTGATACACGTACACATTGTGAGGTGATTACCATCATCAAACTAATTAACACATCTGCCACCTCACATAATGTTTTTTTGTGTGTGGAGCAGAGGGTACCTTAGCAAGTCTCAGGTATACATTATTACTAATTATAGTTACCACACTGTACATTTGATCTCCAGAACTTATTCATCTTGTAACTGAAAATCTGTATCCTTTGACCAAATCCCCCTCCTCTGTTTTACTCACCCTCCAGCCTCTGACAACCACCTTTCTACTCTGCTCCTATTAGTGTGACTTCTTTAGACTCATATCGTTATGTTCCTCATATTTCTTTTAACTCCCTTTAGTGTTTCTTATAACAGTTATCTATTATTTCTATTAGGTAAATTGATCCCCTTTCCAAACTTTAATTAACATTTTGTTATTGATTAGACTTAGAGGTTATGTGCTGCTCATGGAATTAATGTGAATATGATTTTTAATGGCTATTTTAAAATGCAATTTTATTGATTTCAGATATAAAACCATTACTCCTTTCAAGAGAGCAATATGTTGGGGGGAATGATGCTTTCACTGTTACTAGTTCAAGATTTGTCTGCTAGTTTCAAGGATTTTCTTTTCTGAAATGTCAAAACTAAAAAGGGTAACAAAAATAACATTAACAGACCCACGTAGGAAATTATATTACTTGGGGATGTCAAATGATGGAACATGTTTTTTTGCAGACTTCCCTCCTTCCTGAAAATAGCAATGAGTAACAGAGAAAATCTTTAATGCCATCTTTGAGCTTTTGCTTGATAAAAGGAACTACTATATAGCTTCGAAGGTTTAAAAAGAAACACTCTTTACAGAAATATTTTATCCTTTCCAGAGCATCTTCTCATCTCTGTGCATAAGCACGGTCCCAGTGGCATGCTTAATCCATCTTCACAGCCCTACATATCTTCAAGTGTGTGCATAAATTGTGTCAGGAAGGAACTGCGACCTGATCGTGAATAAATGCAAACAACAACTCTGTGTGGGACTCTGTTGTTTGATGTAAACACAGCCCTGGGTGATCACTCTGCACTTTGTCTTTTAGGGTTATAAAGATGGGTGTGAGCTCCTCACCTTGGTAGCCAACACCCTGCACTCAGTAGCAAGCATTTGCTGTAGAGCCAGTACCTGAGAAGCACTGCTTGGCTATTTCCCTAAATTATCATCTACTTGCATTCACTCCAAATGTTCACAGATGACAGAAAGTAATTCAGACCCCTTTGTGCCTCAGTTTCCTTGTTTGCCAAACAGGGATATCCTTGTGTATCCCTCACATAAAGTTATTATGTGAGTAAGTGAAATGAAAGCATAGAGAGCATCTTGAACAGTACCTGGCATGTAATAAAATATGCACTCGATAAATGTTAGTTTACAACATTTTTTTTTCCTGCTCTTAAGAGTAAGCTTGAGTTCATAAATCCCAGAAACCAAATGATTTCTTTCTATTTTAGGTCTGCTTTTACTTATGTGATTTTTCCTCAAGTGTAAGGCATCATTTTGTACTCTTACAGTATGTTCCTGAGAGCACAGATGTGAGTAAAAGTGAAGAGTGATTTAGTATGAAGTGTTGTGCTGGGTCTGTACATCAACTGCTTCCTCTCTGCCACCGGCTGAGGCAGCCACCGCTGGGAGCCCATAGGATTCTTGGCGGCTGCCTTCCACCCTCCTACTCAAATCTCTTTTCTTATCTGGTCTCTGCTATTCTTGTTGCTTCGGTTTCATAGCTGGTTTGAGCCCCTTGGCCTCACCTATTTGGATTGTAACCCATGTGTATAATCTGTTGGGATTTTGGAGGGTATCTTCCAAGTGTCTCCCCGCAGCGTGTATCCTCTGCTCTCTACTTTTTGAAAGGTCAGTCAGACAGGAGGGGAAAGGTACTGTGTTGACAGAAATCCCCACAGCAACCCTATGCTGTGGATATTTAGTGTTTTCTGGACAGTTGATATAAAGCAGCATAGAGAGAATGAATAACTTCTCAAGGCCATGGGACGGATGAATGCTTTGGTGTGCCTTGAGGAGCATTCCGATGATGGTCGGTGACTTTGGTAACTGTGTAGCTTGGAGTAGGGGCCTAAGAAGACATGAGTGTGCAGTGCTCCCCTGTAGCATGCTGGTGTCACTGGAAGGAAAGTGTGGTAGGTGGGGTAGTAATCACAGAGGGACCTTTCTGAAGAGCCTCACCAGTGACATATAGTTGGCTTCTGTCCTCCTTTTTGTTACAGGACCCCAATATTTAGCTACTGATGTTGCCATTGGAGGCAGACAGTTTTACTCAGCTGCAGCTCTGTCCATGGCATCTGCTGATCCACTCACAGCATTTGTTTTTCAGAGTTAGGAAGTGCCTTCCATGCTCCAAAATGCAACTTTCTTACCAGTGTTTCTGCACCATCTTGAGGTTTATATTTCTGGCTCTGTTATTCTTTCTCTGTGTGACCTCCAGATGGAACTATGTGATTCACAGAGGACTGCCTCATTGTCAATGACATGACAGGGGATTGAAATGCATTTGATAGATAGATGATAGAACTTTTCTTTAGATTTTAGGGCTAAAGTACATCTGTATTAATCCATTTTTACACTGTTGATAAATACATACCAGAGACTGGGAAGAAAAAGAGGTTTAATTGGACTTACAGTTCCACATGGCTGAGGAGGCTTAGAATCATAGTGGCAGCGAAAGAAAATGAGAGGAAAGCAAAAGCAGAACCCCCTGATAAACTCATCAGATCTCATAAGACTTATTCACTGTCACAAGAATAGAATGGGAAAATCCAGCCCTTATGATTCAGTTACCTCCTTCTGTATTCCTCCCACAACATGTGGGAATTCTGGGAGTTATAATTCAAGTTGAGATTGGAATGCAGACATGGCCAAACCATATCATTCCCCCCTGGTCCCTCCAAATCTCATGTCCTCACATTTCAAAACCAATCGTGCCTTCCCAGTAGTCCCCCAAAGTCTTAACTCATTTTGACATTAACCCAAAAGTCCAAAGTCTCAGAGACAAGGCAAGTCCCTTCCACTTGTAAGCCCATAAAATTGAAAGCAAGCTAGCTACTTCTAAGATACAATGGGGGTGGGGGTATAGCTCTTAAATAAATACAGCCTTCTAAATGGGAGTAATTGGCCAAAACAAAGGGGTTACAAGACCCATACAAGTCCAAAATCTAGCAGGGCAGTCAAAATTTAAAGCTCCAAAATGATCGCCAGATTTCATGGGCTGTTATTGAGTGTCTGTGGCATTTCCAGGTACACAATGCAAACTACTGGTGGATCTACCATTCTGGGGACTGGAGGACAGTGGCCCTCTTCTCACAGCTCTACTAGACAGTGCCCCAGTAGGGACTCTGTATGGGGGCTGTGACCCCACATTTCCCTTCCGCACTGCCCTAACCAGTTCTCCATGAGGGCCCCATCTCTGCAGCAGACTTTTGCCTGGGCATCCCGGTGTTTCCATACATCTTCTGAAATTTGGGCAGAGGTTCCCAAACCTCATTTCTTGACTTCTTTGTACCCACAAGCTCAACACCTTGTAGAAGCTGCTGAGGTATGGGGCTTCCAACCTCTGAAGCCACAGCCTGAGGTATGTGTTAGCCCCTTTCAGCATGGCTGGAGCAGCTGGGACATAGGACACCAAGTCTCTAGGCTGTGCACAGTGCGGGGACCCTGGGTCCGGCCCACGAAATCACTTTTTATCCTGGGACTCTGGGCCTGTGATGGGAGGGGCTGCCAAGAAGGCCTCTGACATGGCCTGGAGACATTTTCCCCAGGGTCTTAGGGATTAACAATAGGCTCCTTGCAACTCATGCAAATTTCTGCAGCCGACTCCCCAGAAAATAGGTTTCTCTTTTCTGTCGCATAGTTAGGCTGCAAATTTTCCAAACTTTTAATGCTCTGCTTCCCTTATAAAACTAAATATCTTAAACAGTACCCAAGTCATCTCTTGAATGCTTTGCTGCTCAGAAATTTTTTCTAGCAGATATACTACATCATCTTTCTCACATTCAAAGTTCCACAGATCTCTAGGGCAGGGGCAAAACGCCACCTGTCTCTTTGCTAAAACCTAACAAGAGTCACCTTTACTGCAGTTCCCAAAAGTTTCTCATCTCTATCTGAGACCACCTCAGCTTGGACCTTATTGTCCATACTGCTATCAGCATTTTGGGCAAACCCATTAAACAAGTCTCTGGGAAGTTCCACACTTTCCCACATTTTCCTCTTCTGAGCCCTCCAAACTGTTCTAACCTCTGCCTGTTACCCAGCTACAAAGCCTCTTCCACATTTTCAGGCATCTTTACAGCAATGCCCCACTCTCCTGGTGCCAATTTACTCTATTAGTCCACTTTCATGCTGCTGATAAAGACATATCTGAGACCGAGAAGAAAAAGAGGTTTAATTGGACTTACAGTTCCACATGGCTGGGGAGGCCTCAGAATCCTGGTGTCGGCAAGAGAAAATGAGAGAGAAGCAAAAGCTTAAGCCCCTGATAAACCCGTCAGATCTTGTGAGACTTACTCACTATCATGAGAATAGCATGTGAAAGACCAGCCTCCATGATTCAATTACCTCCCCCTGGATCCCTCCCACAACTTGTGGGAAATCTGGGAGCTACAATTCAAGTTGAAATTTTAATGGGGACATAGGCAAACCATATCAACATCTTAACACTAGCATTATATAAATGAATGGGCTTTATGGAGTTAAAATAGTTCTTTGGCAACCTGCCATTGTATTCTCCATGTACACTATGGAACAATTATCGTGAAGGTGAGATTTTGTATATATGATATTAGATTGCTTTACTTAAAAAAAAGAGCAACCACAGAGTATGTCTTGATAGTTACCGATTTTCCTCTAGGACTTCAATTATATTAATTTAGAAATTAATTGTAAGCTTGCTGGCTGAAACTTAGTAGGCCATTATGTAGCCCAGTGCACTAAATTCATTTTAATAACTGAGTATTAGTTATAAAGAAATGAGAACCATTAAATATATATTGATTTTTAATGGGGGGGGTGTTCTGATTTCTGCATTGCTTCTATGTCTTTCATTTCATTTTTAATTTTAAAAGCTAGACTATTCTTGTTCTAAGACAAGGCCAAGGCTCCGGCAAATTGTAACATACTTTATTTTAAAATTTGACCTGAATTGTAGAAGATAAGGCCTACCAAGAAACAACCCATTTACAATCTTATTCATTTTTTTAGCTAAAGAAAAGTCTAGGACAGTTAGCCAGTGTCATAGTCAAAGGACATGCAGTTTCTGGCATCATATGTTTTTTTTTATGTAGCTTGCTAGCAGGGCAAATGAGAATACGATTAAAATTAAACTTTCTCAGAGTAGCCACCAGCCTTGGTGGCAGACTTCTAGGCTCTTTTTAGGAACATAAAAATAATTCTGACCCTGAAAATGAATTACATCCGCATTTCAAGTCTCCAAATAGAATGTCTTCAAGAACTATAGGCCATACTTAGTTCTAAATAAATATTTAAAATGAACTTCCCTTACGATAAAGTATCAGAACTGAAATTTGCAAAGATCCTTCAGCTCTGGTCCCAATATTTCAAAAATGTCTGCCATATTTGGGAGCGGAACCAAAAAGTGGGCTTAACCACTGGAATTCTAATAGATAGTCAATTCTGCAATGGCTGCCCATTTCACTCACAGTAGTATCTCATACCCGACAGTGGTTCTCGAGGCCCACATGATACAGCTCCCTTATTTTTTTTTTTATCACTCTCCCCTACTTCCTTGACTTGGGCATCTTTGCTGTTTCGACAGGCCTGGCATTCTCCTGCCTTAGGACTTTGCACTGGCAGTTCCCTCTGCCTGGAAGGTTCCTCTCTTAAGTATTTTACATGGTTAATTCCCATAAGTCCTTTTTGCGCTCAAATATTGTACTCTTATAAGGCCTACCTTGACTATCTTATCCTATCTAAAGTTGCAACTTGGCCATCTTTCCTCTTCTCTTCCTAGGCCATGGCATACCTAGTCCTCCTTACTCTGCTTTAGTATTTCATTTTGCCACATTTTATAACTATATTATTTTTTCCCATTTGTTATATCTCTTGATTTTGGGTGTTTTCCCCCAAACTACTTGAGCACAAGAATTTTTGTTTTGCTCACTACTATACCTCAAGTACTTAGAACAGTGCCCAGCTATACAGTGGATGACTACAGAATGTACATGACATCATATTCAGATTGCCTCTCATTTCAAATTCCTCCCACTTTAGATTTTGTCGAATACATGATTTGACTTTGCCTCTGGACTGTAACCCTCTTTCATCCCTAGCCTGATCCCATCATCCCATTTTTGTGCATGCTCTAGTGCCGTTGGACCTGTCAGGACAGAGCCCAGGCTAGAAAACTTACGGCTGTGAGTTCATGGCAGGTGGCCATGGTATTCTGCCTGGTTATCACTGAGATTAGAGACACAGTTGATAAACGACAGCCTGCCAGGCATCTATTACCACATCCCAGCTGTGCATGGGAATGGGTGTGCATCCTGTAGACGGCTGTATGCAGATGCACCTGTCTCACTCTGAGCTCTGGCATGTCTCAGAATTTCTGACGATAGGGGTTAAATGGATGGATCAATTTGGGACCTGACTTAAGTGGTGAAATTCCTCACCCCAAAGAAAGCTCGGCCTACAAAATGTGCAAAATGGCATCATCAGAATTTCAGATGAGAGCTGATCTGCTTTCCAATTAGCTTCCATTTCAAATTTCTAAATTCCTTGCATGAGGGAAGCCATCCTAGATTAGGCTGGTTGGAATAATGATACCTTCCACCCCAGGTTTCTGTGACTAATATTGGTCTTTACTTGTGAAGGCCACAAAAACTTTAACAAAATAGCAACATTAAAAAATTGGCATCGAAAGTAAAAAGTCATTATTTTTTCATGGAGAGTTATGTTTTTTGCCATTGCATGAATGATGCTACATTAGAATTTCATTCCTGTTGAATTGGATCCCTTCCAGTGCTCAAGGTATGTGGCTCTAAGAACCATATGATATGTGGTGTTAGCACTCTTCTTAGAGTGTAAGCTTTAAATCTACATAGAAGGATTCTAAATAATGAGCTCAAGATTCTCTGTATCCTCTGCTTTTATAATGTTCAGCAAGTACCATGTGAGAATTATATGAATTGATGAGGATGGATATTTAATATTTATTAGGTAATAAGAGTATCACAGTTTTATTACATTTTTCAATATAAAATATATTTCCCTTGGTATATTTATTGAACTTATTAGTGTTGCTGATGTAGAAAAATACTTGTTTGTATCTTGTATGTATATGTGTGTATATGAAATAGATTATTTGTGCCAAATATTGGATGCTTATATCAAAGGAACTGGGCTCTTAAAATTAAGAATTTGCATATTGTGAAATAAAATGAAACATTTAGTCAAAATTAAAATTGTGATGAGTTGGAACATCCAAACCATCTTAATATAGATCTGTTTTAAAATAAGCACTCCAAGATTAACACCTGCATATTGCTGACTACCATGATACATTGCAGTGGCTATAAAAAATTATTCCATCCCCTAAATCTTCTTTTTAATGTCTTTTAAAAAATGAATTGATCTGACACCAATGAAACTTTTTGTAATGAATCACACCAGATAACTGCATTTTAATGCCTTGATGCCCTGTGAAATGATTAGGGGGGTAAAGGGGAAATGTATTTTTCTTATTCAGGTACTCCTCACATCCGTTTGAGATTTCTCATCAGAGGTTTAATGCTTTCTAACTACTATGCCTTTTGCAATCCACTTCCTTTTTTATGTGACTGCACTGATTTCATCAAATGCCTGTCATCAAATGATTTTGCATGTCATCTCTTCTATCCTCCTGTGCCATGGCTTCCTGCTCACTGCCCTGTGATCATTTGTGCTTCAGCATCCCTGATGCAACCCCACGAAGTTGAATTGGAGCAGCTGCTCTTATTCATCTGCAGCTGCTCCTGGCAGGGCTGCCCAAGAGAGAAGACCACTCTGATTTGTGTTGCTTTCTTTCTATCATCTTGACCATCCCAAGAACTCTCAGGAGTTTCACCTCTCAAAATTTTAGGAACCTGTCTCAAAGGTTACATAGGGCGATCCTACTGTGATTTGCTGAGGATTTGTGACTGACTTGCTCATTGTGGAAATGACTCAAGTCCACAGAATGGAAAGTCTGGAACCAGTTTCTATGAATTATCAGTTCTGCTCTTTGTCATTGTAGCTCTGACTTTTTCAGTGTGTGTTAAACTCCAAGATGAACCTGGGAGGCAAATTTGTTCTAGGTTATTGAGGAGGTTCAAGAGACTCATCAATGATAAAGGCCTCCTCCCATTCTTTCAGTTCTTCAACTCATTCACTCATTCACTCACTCACTTATTCATTCATGTTACTGTCTGCCTCTTATGGCATCAGCCATATTTCTCCTTATATAGAACCATGTTGGGCTTGACATCGCACTTTCTCTTTTTAAAATATAAACCCTGTCCTAGTCCATTTGGGCTTCTATAGCAGAATACCGTAGATGGGGTATTCTGCTATAGAATGGGGTATAAGCAATGGGAATTTATTTCTGACAGTTCTTAAAGCTGGAAAGTCCAGGAAGAAGCTACCAGGTAGATGCAGTGTCTGGTGACAATCCTCTTTCTGGTTTACTGGGCTCTGACTTCTCTCTGTGTCCTTACACAGCAAGAGAGGGCAAAGGAACCCTCTGGGGTCTCTTTTATCAGGTCACTAATCCCATTCATGAAGGCTTCACTTCTGTGCTCTAATCACACCTCAAGGGCCTCACCTCCAAATACCATGACATTGGAGATTTTCTTTCAACATATGGATTCTGGGGGGACATAAACATTCAGTCTATAGCAAACACCATACTGTTAAACTATGCTAAACTAGTGTTAATCTATTTTAAAATTAATTTGCTTCTACTGTCTTCTTTCAACATTTCCAGTTTAGAACCTCACACCCCCTTCTTACTTGGACTCCTTTCTGTGAGCTGTTCACGTGGGAAGGATGCTAGAAGCCAAATACCATATGCCAGATGCCTTGGATGAAACTTAGAGGGAAACACTGGCAGTGGGTTCAATCTTGCACACTTTCCTAGTGAAAGGGAGTTCAAAGCAGGGTTCAAATTTAAAGTATCTGGAAAAGACAGAAAAGTAAGGAAGTACCATTCTGAATTCCTTGCTTTTTTGGTACTATATAAAGAAATGAAATGTCAGAGTCTCTGTACATCCCTTTACCCTCACAAAGGTTACTATCTATTAGATTTTCATATTTATATCTTTATCTTAAAATATCACATGGGATTATAAAGCCAAAAAAGGAAGCAAGCTAGCTATTAGTCAAAAGGAAACCAGTTGAATATGTTTCCATAGATTCATACTATAAATTGTTATGTTACTATTAAAAGAGCATAGTATTAAGGCTTGATATCAAGTGTCAGATTAATATGTGTCATAAAATGTAATTTTGGTTAAAATATGCACATATTGG